GTCTCTGCCTCCCCGGAAGCCATACAATGTTTTCTGGTTTGCCTGCCAGAAGCCAGCTGGCCCCTTCTGCGTAATCCATGTGTGTGTACACATCTGTGTGCCTGTATGCATGGCGTGGTGTGTGCGTGTGTGCAGTATGTGTGTGCTTTCACATCTGTGAGATGAAGTATGCAGAATTTCCTGACTCATCATCCAGTTCATTTGTCCTTTTTCCTCTTAGATATCGAACATTTTATTATTTTATTTTATTTCTTGAGATAGAGTTTTGCTCTTGTTGCCCAGGCTGGAGTGCAATGGCGCAGTCTCAGCTCAACACAACCTCCACCTCGCAGGTTCAAGCGATTCTCCCGCCTTAGCTTCCTGAGTAGCTGGGATTACCGGTATGTGCCACCACACCTTGCTAATTTTGTATTTTTAATAGAGATGGTGTCTCTCCATGTTGGTCAGGCTGGTCTCGAACTCCCAACCTCCCAACCTCAGGTGATGCACCCATCTCGGCCTTCCAAAGTGCTGGGATTACATGTGTAAGCCACCGCGCCCGGCCAGACGTCTAACATTTTATAAGGAAGTCTTGCCATATGCCTGCAAGTATTAGAAGGCCAAGTTGGGAAATGCCCCAACAGATTCCAAAAACAGGACTTTTCCCCTTTTCTAGGTTGGGGAAATGTTTTGCAGAGGTGGTTCCAAACAGATCATCACTCATCAACCATTATGTTCTCAGTAACAAGACGGTGAAACATGCAGCTGTTTGTTGGGCGGAAAACTGTAGAATAAGGAAACAGATATTGAATTTCAGTGGTTAGCTCAATTGATGACAAAGGGTTATATTATCATTAATTCATGTTTATTGGACTTCCACTGGGCACATGTTCTTTTTCAAAAATTTTATTTTAATTTTTATGCAGAATCACGGAAGGGTCCTCTTTTTAAACGTCGGAATTACAGAAGTGTATTTGTCTGACATTAGACGGAGTTCAGTAAATATTTGTTGAACGAATGAACAAATTCGCATCATGCTCCATTTATGCTGCAATATTGTTACCTCTGCCCTTTTAGGTACTCTTACTTTCTCCCCTTAGGAGTTTTTTGAAACCAGTAGGAGCCCTCTGAGCGGTGCCCACCGGAGGGCACAGCCGAGAGGTGCAGTGTGAATTGGGCGCCCAAAGTTCTTGCTTAGAAGATTTTTTAACAGAGGTTAAGCTTATGGTATTTTTCGTGTGACAGATTGTATTTCTTTTCATTCTCCCTAAAATGTTCAAAAATTAAAGGGTTTATTTTTTAAACTGGCAGAATGCATTTTAAAATAGGAAAGCGAATGCTAGTACCAATTTTGCATTTAATAATAAAAGGAAAGTGTGTTTTTTAACTTCATAAAGAATCAAATTGTTAGATGATTCCCATTTGGAAAGATCATGAATGTTGATGTATTATGCCTTTTCTTTTCTTTTTCTGTTTGGTCACTGTTAAGTTGAAAATAAGCTCCAGAAATTAAAAAAAAAAATGAATTCTGGAAAAATATCCCCCCAAAATCACATTGTTCTTATTTTATTACTCTTTTTTTTTGAAAAACCTAAGCATATATGTTATTGGTAAGTGTCTGTGAGTAACAAGAACAGGAACACTTACTTGCAAACTATTTTAAGTAAGAATGACTTATTTTACTCTAATTATTGCAGGCAACATTTAGGTATTATTTTCATTAAGCGCACTATTATTTGTGGCAAATTGTACTGAAACATTTGTGTTTTCCCCCCAAAGTCTTACGGACACCACAAATTCACCTGTTTAAATACGGAATTTATGGTGGCTGGAAGCACTCCTATTAATTCTGTTATATGTGGTTTTGGCTCCCTAAATAATGTCTAGCTAAAACCTCTCTTATTACGTCCAGATGCAATTCATTTTTTTCTGATATGCAGAACACTGGAAATGTATCAGCCTTTATTATTCCTCATCGAAATGAGTGCCTTTAGATTTCTAATTATATTGTCTAATAAAACTAAACAGTCAATGCTATTTGCATATTATATGAAGAAGTGTCATACAACAAACTCATAGCAGTCAATTAACATAAAAGCTAATTATATATCTCATCAGCTTACAAGAGTTTCTGAATTCATGCTTCCTCTGTTGTAGCCTAGAGCAAAGGAGCTTTGAATTTTCACTTCTAAATATTGACTTTTAACTAATATCAGCAGTGATTTCAATTTTTATGGATGAAAAGTTAGTGATTAAACTAGATGCAATATTGCTACAATGCAATTAAAATTTTACATTAACTAAACCTCCAGAAAGAAAATCTTTGCTACAATGAAATTAATTATCAGTCACTAAGCAGGTTAAGTACTGGTTTCATATCTGAAGGACACTCCAAAATAACGATAAAGATGAGTGAAATTTATTGGAGGTTGTCAGACTGTAATGGCAGAGACAGATATACTACAACGACAGTTTCCACTGTAACATAATTGTATTCCTGCTGATTGTGACAGCTATCAAGCAAGAAATTTACTACAAGATTAACAGAGACACAGTAATGAACAAACATGGAGGCATGCTGTAACTGGCCGTTATTAAAGCGTTATCATAGCGGTCTGTAATAAACTCCCTAGCTCCGGTTTTCTAGAGAAGTCAATGTCAGAACTTTCAAGTACTTTTTTCCATTCTAAAGTAGGGATGTGGGTATCCCCCCACCCCCATTCCATTGCTCACGTAACAAGCACAAGGTCAGAAGAAACGTAAAGGGGGAGAAATAGGCACTACATTTAGGAAGTATGATTAAGAGTTATAGGTGGGTTTAAAATTTAGGAAAAGTTAGGATTTACTTGGAGTGCTTGGGGTACTCTAAGATAGCAATGAAATTATCATGGATCATTTTTCTACTTATAACTTGTACCAAACAAGTCCATATGTAAAAGCAATGGCAGATAAGAAAACTATGCCAGTGCGTGGGCTTTCTCTGGATACACAGGCCTTCTCATTCATATTTTAATGAGGTTAGTATCTCTGAGACAGTCCTTGGAGGGCAGAGGCAAGGCTCCCTAAGATTACAATAGGAGGTGCTTTATTGACAAGTACTATTCAAAATCTTCACAGTATAGAAAGACTTCGTTTTATTCCACTTGTCCCAATACTTATTGGCCTCTTATAATCAGAACACTTTGAAGGGGGGGGGGAAAAAAAGCCCAGTTATTCTGTGAACAGTCTTTAAATGTACTCATCATAGTTCAACTGCTTAGAATCATTTTAAACTCTAATCATGTACATTTGAATAAATGTATAAAGAGCTGTAATGCATAGCATCTTTTTCTTAAATATTTTCTCAAAAAAAATTGATGCTTTGGCATTTTAGGACCAAAATGTTTCTCAGCCTTCTGCAAAAATGAGCTCCACTCGTGTCACGCTGGCTGTTTTCCCTTTCCTTTTTTTAACGAACATCGTAAGGTAGTGTCTCCGAGCTAGCTGCCAGCAAACATTTTCTACTTTTAAAGGATGTTTACCTTAAAGGGCTAGTGAATCACATCAAAAAGCCAGTCAACCTTCATAGACTGACAAAATTATAGAAATTCACACGTTTGCACCTTGCCATAACATATTTGTGTTAAAATAGGCAAAATGGTAGTATATTCAAACATGTCAAATTACACTTTCAGAATAAAAACAATCCACTGGGAGGTGGAAAGTTGTAACATGGGGAACTGTTTCCAAAAGGTGCAGCCTAGGAAGTGAATCAAATGGCCCGCAAAAGTGAGTTGTGGAAGGCCTTCCACACAATCATCGCAATTTTGCTCAAAACTTATATGCTCAGCAATTTTTGCAAATAGCTCACAATGTTCTGTGAATTGAAAAATTAGTTTTCAGCGTGGCCTCTACTCAACGTGAATTAGGTGGTGTATTAGGATGGAGTTTGGTGTTCTAATGGAAGAAAGGCCTAAGTTTCTGAAAGCCCCGGCGATCAGACCATAGTGCCTCCTGGCTCTGTCCCCATCCCCCCAAGCATCAAGTATGTTTACTTTTCAGATGGGAAACCAGACGGGGGGAGGGAGGAAGGGAAGAAGAGAGAGAATGAATTTCTTGATTACAGTTAGATATTTTTTAATGAAAGAGTCTACTCTTCACTTTCAGGTAAAATGCTACTCTGTTGACATCCAGAAGCTACTATGAATATATTGTATATGTATCAGCTAAGGAAATAATACTTAAAATACATGCATCACAGAAAACGAAAACCTCCATAATCTTTCTGCTAGTGATCTGTCTTGATTAAATTACATTTTAAAATCTGCCTCTGCATTTTATAGTTTTTCCAATGATTAACATGTGTTTATTTGTTTCTGTAAATTAATAAAACAGATTTTCAGTTTTGTTTGTTAATCTACGTATTGTGTGCATGTTTTACAACTTAATCAATGAAAATTAATGAACGGCATAATTAAAGCGTAAGTAGAACGCAACTTGTGTTTGAAATGTGCGCTTTGAGCCGCTTAGGCTGCAGTTTTTGAGGGCAGACATTTTTAGAGATTAAAACATTCGTGAGTTTTAAAAACGTGGCATTTGAGTGATTAGATACATGTGGTGGTATATTCTATTAAATAGTCCATAAGCTATTGGACTTCCGATTCGAGCGCCTGGGCCTTGAGAGCAGCTCAAAATCAAGCTCCAGTGGAGTCGTGGGGGAGGAGGAGGGATGTTACCTGTGCACAGGGGAGGCGCAGCTGATAGTTAATCGGCGGCTGTATTTCTCTGGCGCGTCCTCTTCCCAAGTTTCTTTCAGAATGTTTTGACAAACTGGCTTCCTTATTGAAACGGGGGGCGCCGGTGGCGAGGCGGGGCGGTTTGTAATGGAACCTGGGTCTAAAGAACACAGGCGCACCCTCCGCCCGCGCTTTCCAGGGGACGCCGCCGCGCCGCTGATGAGATTTGTGGCCAGATGGCGGTGAAGCGCGGAGACCCTTTGTGCGCCCCGAGCGCGCCTGTGAATGTAGCGCGGTCGCTGGCACCGGAAGGGTTCATACTGCGCCTGAAAGGGGACAATGGAGGCTGGATAGATCAACACTGCAGAAATCGAGTTCATTTGTGATTCAGCCCCTTTCACTGCGGTTGTCATGCAAACTTCCTACTTTGATCAGCAGAGGGTGGAGAGGGAAAAAGCCCGCAAAGGCCGCGGGCTGCGGCGCGGTCCGGCGCCCTTGGCGGCTCCACGCCCCCTTCCGGAAGGAGCCGCGGGGACGCCGCATCCTGCACCTTGACCTGTCTAGACGGCCCCGAACGTTTTGTCTCCGTTACCAAGGGCGAGGGGTGCTCTTTGACCCGCGCCCGGGGCGGAGGTGGTGGCCAAGGGGTCCAGCTGAATCCTCGCCGAATTCCGGAGGGAGAGGGGCTAGCGGGGACGTGCACCAGCTGTTCCCAAAGAAAGCAGCCCAGGAGCCCGCCTGGGAGATGGGACGCCCGTCCGTGAGCCCCTTCCTCTCCCAGCCCCGCGTCCACCCCAGCCCGGGCCATCGCGCGGCTGCAGCGCGGGGGACGCGCAGCCAAGGGCAGCCCCGGGGTGGGCCAGACTTTGGGCCTCCTCAACTTCTCCCCGACTAAGGGGGTCTGCAGCCAGCTGAGCGCGCGCTCTCTCTCCCTCTCTCTCCCTCCCTCTCTCTGTCTCTCCCTCCTTCTCTCTCTCCCTCTCTCTGTGTCTCTCCCCCTCCTCTCTCTCTCCTCTCTGTCTGACAAGTAGATGGATAATAACTGCCATTTTCTATGCGTCATGCTTTTTGCTACATGCTCAGTGACTTCTAAATATGATTCTATGCAGAGGTATAGTTTCTAGTTTGAATGTATTTTTTTCTGTCCACTTTGAAATATACGCACTTTTAAAAAACTAGAATTTACGCTAACCCCGTAATGATGTAAAGCAGGTTGTTGTTACATTGTAATAACAGCCTACGGTACCGTCTACTGTGTCTGTGCTGGGGAAGTGGCACACGTTTGCATTCATGGAGAGTGTGGCGTTTCCATGTGGACTCGCCGGAAGGTCTTTGAAGTAACATTAACATTAAGACAAGTTTCCTCGCCCTGTCTTTCTTCTTAGATCCCCCTAGCCCAGTCGGAGGCGTTCCTAACGGACCTTTTGGAGAAAGTCTGTGAGCGAATGAACGACTACAAGCTTGAGGAAGACCCTGTGACGAAGGAGAGAACTTTCAAGAGATTTGCTCCTAGGAAAGGAGACAGAATATACCAAGAATTTAAAAAATTGTATTTTTATTCTGATGCTTACAGACCTTTGAAATTTGCGGTAAGCTCTCTTCCTTGCAGATGAATCGTATGATCCAGAAACGTGTTTTTGGAACTCTTTTTTGTTGTTTGCTACTCTTGTTGTAGTTGAGTTTCAAGATATGGAACATCACAATGCACATTAAAATGTCATCTGCTGGCTTTGTTATCTTGCTGCTTAAGTGCTCACCATACATTTAGTAACTTGACTTTTGAGACCCTAAGGGGTTGTGGCAATTTGTGGTGATCAATGGACACGTTTCAGTGATACTTTATGGAAGGTGCTGTTCACAAATCCTGGGGACTTGAAGACACAGTTTTGCACAATGCTTTGCTTAAAACATTTGTGTGGGGACTCCGGAGTGGTCTCCGTGCTGGTGCGAGGAAGGTTCTCTCACAGGTTTCCATGTAAGGAATCAGGGGCTGTGGTTTCCAGGTTAAAAGCCAAATTAAAACGAATGTCGCTTTCAAATATTTACAGCCAAATGCTAGAGGGAGAGTGATGCAACCATCTCTTTTTTTCTAAGGCTTCACAGAGGAGGGAGGATTGTATCCCGAGTTAATTCAAGTATTCTAGCCCAGGCTAAGTTAAACAAAGGCTTAGGTATGATAGTGGGCTTGATGTCAAATTTCCTTCCAGTATAATGCTGATTTTTCATGAATAGTAGTCTCTGGCTTGCTAGAATATGCTTGGCAAAGTACATTGCAATATATTTCACTTTAGTCAATGCTGTTGAATCAGACGAAGTGATGGGCAGTCCTGTTTTAAAAAATGTATTATTAAGTTCACACATTGGCCAGAATATCAGGCCTGCTGAGTCCTTGAAATAAGGGCTTTAGCTGATTTTTAAAGATTTTATTTTAATTAGAAAGTAAAGGCAATTATCAGGGTTAAAAGTACCACAGAATAAGAATGGCAATGAATAAGTGTGTTTGTATTTCACAGGTTTTAAATAGGCAAAACCTGTGAAATTTAAATCTTTTAAAATACCATTAAAAATTTTTAGAGTCTTGCTTAATGAACTCAGAAAATGATTTACAAGTCTCTAGTGAATACCGTCGGGTAACTTCACAGCTCCTAAAAGTGTAACCTGGTAGTTCTTTAACAAAGAAACATACTTCAGTTAGAATTTAAGATGATCAAATGCGGGGGCATATTTGAGCACCCTCTTCTCTGAAAGGTCAGGGTTTTTTGTTTTGTTTTGTTTTGTTTTTCCTCTTTTTTAGTGAAGTGAAATTTTGGATGGATCTCTAAATAGTATGAAAAGACACTTCCCGAAGTAACTGTCAGGTGTGTTCTCCACAGTGAAACTGAAGATGAGTTTGTTTTGATTGCTGAGAAGGCTTAATTGTTTTCACACTTTCAAGCCACAAAATGGATTTTTATCTTAAATCTGAAGGAAACTGGTTTAACCATTTCGAGGAACTGTGGTCTTTTAATTTTTTTTTTTTTAAATTTAAAAACCGTTAGACTTTTCAGCGCCTTAAATGGGAGGCCCATTTCTTCCTATGGCTTCCATTCCAATTTAAGGAAGTGAAACATGCAAAGAATGATGTTCCTTCCTCAGCCTCCCACGTCTTCCAACACAACTCATCATGTACTTAAGCCCCAGGAAAATGATGCAATTAACATTCTGGGAAGAGGGTTAATCCAATGCAATGATGTATTAAACCAAAAGGGCTAATAAAAATGGACCACCTTGGTTACATGATTTCCTATGTGTAGCTAATAAATTGTTGCAAAGTCCTTCCTAACAAAGTGCCCCGCCGGTGTGCGTCTATCCACATATGTTGTTATTATGTTTCTGCAGTGTGAAACTATAATAGAAGAGTATGAAGATGAAATATTCTCACTTATCGCCCAGGAGGCACACTATCTAGCTGACAAGCTGTGCAGTGAAAAATCAGGTACTGTGTCTGATGTAACATGTACTCGCTGCTCGCACACCCTCTGTCTCTCACTCAGCCTTGCAGCGTCTTGTTTGCAGACCGAGCCTCGCTGCCTCTCTGCGACCCACAGCTCTGACACAGGATCCCCCGTCTCCGCTGAATCAGAAACAACAGAATGTGAGAGAAAACAGATAAACAGAAACACAGGGCTGTGTGGCCTTCCTCTTTGTACTTTCTTTCCTCTACATGTTAAGTGAATTCAAACAAACATTCTTGATTTCCAGTTGTTAAGGAGAAATTTCTTGTTCCGCATTAGAAGACTCCAAAGTACTTTCTTTTTAAGAACTTTGAGAGAGAGGATTTTTCCATCCTGGACCAGGGAAGGAGACCCTCACTTCATGGCTTGAGTATTTGCTACACCAGCAGAAGGTGCGATTTTTGTTTTGTAAGAACTTTCTAAAGTTTTTTTTGTTTGCTTGTTTGGGCGGTGGGGGGGCGGGGGATGCTGGATTTTTTTTTTTTTTCCAGGTTCCATTCCTGTATCCACTTCTTAAAAAATTATTTTTTCTGGCTCAGAGGATGGAAAATAAGTTAATTCTTAAGCATATACACACACTCAGAAGCTGGAAAAAATTAGCAGAATTGTATTTATAACATACAGAGTTGAAAGTGGTCACTGACTCTCCACTCTGTTGGCTGTACGTAGACCTTCTAGTCCCCTAACTTGGATGCTTGTTTAATACATTTATAAGAATGGAGTACACAGTTGTGCATTCTTTTTGGATATCTTTGGGAAGAAATGAGTGAGTAGATATGAAGACAATGACTTAAAGCCAGTGGGGTACTTTTAAACAATGTGGAAGTTTGAGACAATTAGCATTCAGCAGTTGTTTACAGTAAAGTATAGAATACACCTACATCCATTATATCAAATGTAGTGCCAAAGTCCTTAAAATAACAGCTACTGCATATTTGTAGATAAATATTCATGTCATCAAAAGCCATTAAACAAGAAGTACACAAATCCCCCATTAACAGAACAAAAAGTTTTTTGGTTTTTTTTTTTACTCTGAGTAGATAATTGGGTTGTTTCCTGTTTAAAATCCAGTTTTAATGAAGCTTGCAAAAGAATACAGTGAGATGACGTAGTCAGAATTATTCAGGCATTCGGCGTGTTTTTCTTTGATGTTGGAGATATACTATAGAAATGTGTGATGTCCATAGCCACAACTTCCCACAGAAAATGTTTTTAAAGTGTTTCAGACAATTCCGAGATGTATGTAGGCATTCAGATATAAGCAAAAATGTGATGAACAATATTTGAAATGTTGATTTTCCGATTTTTTCCTCATAAAGGACGTGCGTGGTCCATGACAACCGCAGATCCACTGCGACATGGGCCCTCTCTCAGATGCTCCAGGAGGACCAGAGAGGGTTCCAGGAACTAGTCCCAGCAGTGGTCACCCCGAATAATAAGATCCTGGGGAAAGACTGCTCCCAAGTTTGTCGATTTGACTTAATTTCAATAATCTTAACTACCTTTCTTCGTTCCTTCTGCCTGTTTATAATTGGAATAAAAATGAACACTAACCTTGGGAAAATGCAAGCCTAAAGAATAAACCTAAGATAGGTGCAATTTTGCAAGGATAAAATGAAACCTGATTAGATAATTCTTAATTGGCATTTGATTTTTAAAACACTGATCAAGTCCTTACCACTATGAACAGCAGTGTTGGAAGTAAAAGGTGTGAAAGATACTCAAAGGTGCAAGCCATCATTGAACCACTACGTAGTGAAGCAGGGTGAGTCCTTTCAGGTAACGTTTCTTCCTGAAACATATTTATGGATGTTCTGAACCACTCATAAGTTAAAAACCGAGAATAAATTACTCCTAGAAAGGGACTAGACTTCTCCCACCCACTCGAAAAGCCCTGCTGTTGAAGTGAGTTAATACCACAATAACAAGGAAGAGCGTTTCTTCAAACTGAACAATTTTTGATACAAAAAGCTCAAGCAACACATCAATGATAAAAACTGTGATAAGCGACTAAAGCAATAGAGAATTCATGCGTCTTAACACATGAGGATGGTTTCAGACAACTGAAGGATGAGATGTTCGTATAGTAGAAAACTCCAGATGCACTGGTGCCTAATCGAAAACACAAGGACAGCCACTTTACAACCAGAATATGACAGTCACACTCTGCTTTGTGAAGGCGATACTTTGCCCTGTGATCTAGCACTACAGCTTTGCTGTGATGGATTCTCTAGAGTTTAAACAGTGTCTTAAAGATGTGACTCTGTGTGTGTGTGCGTGTGTGTGTGTTTTGGAGGGTATGGAACTGCACATTAAGCAATAACTATTTACTGAGTGTATACTAAGTGCAAAGACACTATGCTATTAAAATATTCACACGCTGCTTTTAGGAAGATAAATATTTAGAAAATAGACATTGGTGGAATTAGAGGTTTTATTAAAAGTTTAGTTCCTTTCTACACTTTACATACATCTTGTTTATATAAGAGTTTCACTTTTTTTCTTCTTAATGCAAATTATTTCACTTTATTTATAATAATCACATGTTGGCCAGTAAGGGCATGTTCACAGACTCTTCCAAATATTGAAGTTCTAACATTCACCCATACACAAAAATAAGTGGGGAAGAATGGAGAAAATATATATGTCAGATTTAAGATGATTGTGTTTGGATGAAAATATAACACATCACTGAGATTTTCATAAACATTGTGTGTCATTATTTTGATGAGTGAAAAAAATCTCAATGAAAGGTTATAGGAGTACAAGTGAATCTGTGGCTGCCACTGCAGTTTATATACTGGATAGAATAAAAGTCATCAAATGTACTTGGTTTTTGGAGTGTGAGACAGAGTAATAATAAGGGGTTATTCCTCAGATAATCTCTTTTTTTCCTAGGCAAGAAATAAAGGCAAGTTCATTAGATGTTCTTGGTGGAATATCTTGGGGCATAAAGCCCAGACTTCTCTAGAATGTCATTTTGATGTCTTGGAGTCAAAATGATTAAAATCTTAATGTGCTATAGGGTTGTGATGAAAAGTGCAGCTCTTTGCCACTCAAGGTATGGAACCGAGTACTGTAGCTTAGAAATGAATGGATCTTCTAATACTCATGGAAGTATTTGTTAAATAGAGTATGTGATGGCATAAATAAATACACCAATATATTCTGTATGTATCACTTCTGCTTCCATATCAAACTTAACATTTCAAAGCATCATCACTGATGAATTTGCCACATAACAATTTTGAATGCAGCGTATGAAGATGAGATCATGTATCTAGAAATGTTGAGCCTACATTTAAAGTAAAAGATTTTTCCCTTTTTATGTAGACTTCTAAACACTAATGGAAATGTTAAATTCTAATACGTGAAATAATTACTTTCAAAGGCGAGCATATTTTTTAAAAGTTATGTAGCTAAAGTAATCCATAGCCTTTTTCAATAGAGTTTGCATTAATTGCTTCCAATTGGAAAAGTAGTATTACCAAAGTATCTAGTTGCTGCTGTGGTTCTTGGGTTAAACGCCAGATGTCCTGTGCCCCTTACAAGCTGTGAAATATCTCTGAGTGGAGCCATGGGTGAAATGACACAATATCTTGGCCTTGCTTTAAAATCCTCCAGCCAAAAAAGACTGGAATATGAGGCAAGAACAGCAGTGTTGATCTTTGTTGAAGTTGGGTTTGGGGTGCAGGGGAATAGATTACACCTTTCTTTCTGCTTTGGGGTAATTTCTATAATAACATTTTGGGAAAATTTCCATAATAAAAGTTTTTAAAATATACTTCCACCAGAATGTCATTTTTGCATAATGAAAATGACTTAATGGGCTGGTGTCTAAAGTAATAATGATGCTATCTAATTTTTTTTTTCCAGATCTGTGTGAAACTTCTGTTAATCATACTGAGCTCTAGGAGTGCCGTGCTGCTAGTTGTAGAGAGGAGTAAAGTCACACCCAAAGGTCAATGTCTGCATTTTATGTTTGCATGTTATCTTTCATGATAAGAAATTTTGTCTCTTGTTTATACCATGTTTGTCTCCGTTTATGATTTATTTTGAAAATCTGTTGTTTGACATCATGACAAACCCTGAGTTTTTTTATAGGTGAAGCTGAGGAGTACATGAAACTTAAATTAACCTTTGCAGATTTTGATGAATCAAACTTGATAAGAAAGAATTTAATTCTGTATTGGGGGAAAAAGTGAAGACATTTCATAAACAAAATAGGGATTTCATAATGTATGCTGTTTATTTTATAACAGTGTATGTGCACGTATACAAGTGCAGTAGCTATCTGATAAGAACTGAATTTGAATTCTCAAATACTTGATTGCCTATAAATTTAAGGAAATACATGGCAACAAATTCAAAATGTGGTCTTCTGGGTGAGATATGGCTATTGGTGAAAGAAACAAACTCACTTTTTATCAGGAATGAAATTTAAATTTTTAGAAACCACAAGTTTAAAAATTCATCTCTAAAATTTAGTGGAGTGTGTAAAAACTAATGAATGCTTTAATTTATAGTAAACAATAATTATATTGGCCTCTCAAACACCAATCTGAGTTTAAATGGTTTAGAAAGTTGAATTATTATTGCATCATGTGTTAAAAGATGACGCTAGTGATTGTGTTTTGTTTTACTCCAAACTCTTCTGGTTTGTTTTTCTTCTAAAGTTTTTTTTTTTTTTTTTTTTTTTTTTTTTTTTTTTTTTTTTTTTTTGGCTCACATTTAGTGTGTTGAGTTTACTACTAAATAATCTTCCATTCTTCTACAGGAATGGAAAGAGAGTTGGGACCTGGTGGGAAATTATCCTTTGACCACACTTAATATACAAAGTCTAGTAACAATCACTCCCGGAAATTTATTTATCTCTGTTAAATTTGCATTCAATGGAATCTGACTTTAATGATGAAAAATGTCAGGGTATAGTCTACACCAGTTTCTACAAAGAGATTCTCATCGTCTTTGGTGACAATCAAGTGGGTAGGATGCTACACATTCTGCCCGGAAGACCTAAAACTCTTTGCCATATTGTTACTCAGTTCCTTAAAAAGCACATTATGTGTTTAAATCATTCTCCTGACTCTTCAGCAGGAAACAATCCTCATATTTAGGAAAATTTACCAAAGCTAAGGGGAAGGGCTTTCCATGCCCCCTCCCCACCTCAACTCTGATTAAAAGTTACTGAGTTAATATCGCTTAATTATTTGGGTGCTTTTTTTTTTGTCTTGTCTGTAGCTGCTTAAGTATGATGGCTCCTTACATAAGCCAACGAACTCGCACTCTAGCTGACACACGATGGAAATAGAACTGAATAATAATTAACACTATTTTCCAGTAGGGTAGGACAATTGTTATTTAAAACATAGTCCCTATAGCTTTATTTAAATGTACCTAGTTAAGGTTAATTTGGCATTTAAAGTAGTAAATCAGGAACATTCTCCTAACTTGAGTTTTCTTGGGAAATGCACTAAACAGGAAAATTATTCCCGAAAACCTGGTGACCTTCACAGGAACATGGTGGGAACTGTGACTCTAAGTAAGCTTCACTGAAAAATGTTAACAGTTGTAATTGTAGAAGTGTTGCCAAATTTGTTTTCATACTCTCATTGATCATCATTAAAAATTCTCAGATGTAGACAATACTAACACTAATTATAGAAATTAAGAAAATGTGGACTCCTGTTTGTGACTAAACGGACGTGGGGAGGTGCACCTCCTGTCACTGAAGGGTGCCTTTCTTTGACAGTGATGCTTTGCTTTGAATGCAGAGGGCCAGGAACCTTGACTTACAGCGAATAGCTAAGGTTTTGCTAAATATGGCATTTCAGGTTTTTTCTTGGATTTCTCATTAAAAATAGTCTTGTGTCTTGCAAATTTTTAATATCTCATGACTTGTATATGTTTTCTTTCCAGAATTTTTTTTCCAGATCAAACTTGCTAAACTCATGTAAATATTTGTAGCTTACGAAGTTACTGATTAAACCTGTATTTGAGTGATAACGCACAAACCACTGGATTTCTCATGGCTGCAAGAAGTCTTAGGTTTCCCTGTGGGTCACTGTTAGGTGGTGCTGCTTTTGCTCATGAACAATGAGATAGAGTAGCTACTCACTTTAGCATCCTTCTAGCCACCTCGGTGCCTTGTAAGTCACATTTATTGACCAAAACCAAAATAAAAGCAAGTCATGGGGAGGAAACAAAAACAAAATAAAAGAAATGAGGCAACGTTATGGTGTGGGAGAAAAGTTTCTCAGAGTTGATGAAAAGCGACCTAATTCTATGTCCAAAAAAAATCTCTGGAAAAACACGGGGTAGGGTATGTAATGCTTATTAAAATAATGAAGAGACAAGACCCGTTTGAGGCTGGATGGTTTCAAATTGTTCTCTTATGAGATGGTTGGTTTGGGTCTCCATGAAGACATGTGAACCTGTTCTCATTAAAAAAAAAAAAAAAAGATCAAATTGGCTGAGATGCCCAGTTTATTTTTTGTGATGTGGATTACTATTTGCTAAGAACAAGCCAAGGACAATGAATCCGTTTTACTGAGGAGCGGAGAGTGGGATTGTGCTAAAGTCCCAAACGGGAAAGATCAATACTTTATTTACTAAGACAACCCTAAAAAAATAGAGTCAATAGCTGGCTGTGCTTTTTTATCTGTTTCTCGGCTTAGGTTGATATTTATTCACATATGTAATCACTTTAGCTAAATAAAAAATGATAAACTATATATCAAGCTTAAAATTCAGATGGTCATGGAATATGAGAAAAGTCATTCTTTGATGTGATTTTGCGGTCTGTTTTAAAACTTGGTACAAATCTGTGAGGTAATCTTAAATGTGCTGAAGCTCACGCAATAGGATATTGTATAGTTTGATACCAAGACGCAATTAACAATGATACGAAACCATCACACTATGAATGTCCCTGTGAGATACAAGTGTGTTTTTATTATGATTCCCTAGCTGTAATTTAACTCCCCTTTATACGTTTCTTAAATTCCTCAGATTAGTTGCTTTTAGACCAAGAAACCAAGTGGATAAAAAGATCAAATGCAGTAAATGAAAGGGAATTATGGAAGTCGTAAAAATGTATTGCCCTTACATGACCTGGGGAGAGATACAGTAAATGATATCGCTCTCACGTGAAGTTTAACTTGTTGCCCCTTCCCCTAAACGTGTGTTTGCTGAGGAGAGAGGCTCTGCTCTTTGTAGTCCACTTTTCACGATCTGCTCCAAGGGCAGGAGGTGGTGATGAGATTTAATATAATATTGGCTCGTTCACTTGTGGGGTCATCACCAGAAACATGGGGCTTTGCTTCAGAAGAACAGTTTGTGGAAGAAGAGTCTTGGATGTCACATACAGCTCTCTGCCCTTCTGGATTCTTCAGGAAAGTCCAAAAATAGATGGATGGATAAAGAGATAAACAGATAGATAGAAACATGGCAGTGTAGATACATGCATACACACACACAGACACGGACATACATAGTAGAGAGGGCACAGGGAGATTGGCTAGAGCTTCGAATTTCCAGTGTGGAGATCTCAGGGAAAAAATAAGGTCTTTATTTTTAAAAATTCCTTAATTAAAGAAACATTCCTGTGCTCCTTATCTTGGAGAATTATCTCCAGATTTTCATGAAAGAAAAAAAAATTACAGTGGACATAAGAAAGATTCTACCCTCTGCCATGGTAACATAGTCGTAAAACATATTTAATCTATTATGAAGTTGCTGGAAAACAAAAATGCCATGAGGCTGCACTGGAACTAGCATAGAATCTTATAGTGTGTGTCACTATATGGAACACGGATTTCAGTAAACCACAGATTAAACAATTTCCCTCTAAAGCATAGTAGCACAGAGTAAAAGCCCAACACAGTAAGGTGAGCAGTTTGATAGAGAATCCTGCTCCCTCAAAGCCACAGGGCAGGGGGAAGTTCGCAAATCATGAGCTTAGTGAATCCAAGATGTGACCCAGAGGGACATGGCCTTCCCATGGAGCTGATAAGGGCTCCAGTAACTTTCTTCTCCTTTTGGGATTGTTAACACGCCAGCGTCTAGGGAAGGCAGGTTATGTACTGAAGCATCGGATACCCAGTGTCAGCTGATTAAGCATGGCCAGGGCTCAGAAAGATCCGGTATACTATAAGTAAGAATGTGAATAGCTGTCTCAAACTTTAGGAATAACAAGAATAGCTGTCTCAAACTTTAGGAATAACAAGATTGGCACCTGAAAAGTTAGACTGTGCTCCTGACGTTTTATATTAAGGGTTTGCCTCATAGCAGCTTTCTGAATAAGTGGGAATTTCTCTACAGCGTATTCTCTGATATTGGCCGATAAAAGGTGACTATAATCCACGAGGCGACACCATTGTCAACAGAGAGAGAGAAGATTTCAATCAGGTGATTTTCATTGTTTGATAGAAGTAATCTTCATGGCTCTGTTGTTCTTCATCAAAGGGCGCTGATGAAGCACCTTCATGCCCTGTGGTTTACAGAAGAAAGCGGAGAACCAAAAAATAGACTATTTGGTCCTTATTAAAAATGGACCCTATGTAAAGCAATGTGGTATTAAAACAGAGTGAAATCTAATACAAAGGTGGCTTCAACAAGTGTTATTAAATTATTAGACCTTCAGGTAAAAATATACCCTTGAATTGCTTTTATATGCAATCAAAGCCATGATGAAATATTAAGGCCCTAAGATTAAAGGGTCACGGGTGCGTGCATGTTTTGAAGCAGTGCCCCTAAATGATAAACAGAAAATGTTGCAGGTTAGCTCGGTTTTGCATGTGCCGTGGATGCTGACACCTTGACCAATTTCGAGAGTGGAAGCCCCACTGGAAATCCTCACTCGATCCCAGGGATCTGGGTCAGCTGTGCCTGGTGGAGCTCGTGTGTGCCCATGGATGTGGTGTGGCTCTTTCCAAACTGCAAAAATCCCAGCCATTTTTGTGAGCATACACTGGCCCTGTGGCAAGGTCCGGCTGTAGAAAGATGGCTGTGTTGAGGTTGGAAGAGAGGGCTGACTGCAGCAAATCCCCTTCTGAAACAAAGCCCAGTAAAAGATGCTGCTCCGCCTTCCTAACCGGTGTGATGCATCACACTGGGGCTTCAGAAAGAAACACGTTTGGTTTTTTTGTTGTTGTTAAGAAATGCTTTCCTTTGTACCTGATAACTGAGTCTCAAGTCCAAGAAAACGATAGCATCTTTAGTTCTTGTGCTTCCCTTCTAGTAACTGGTGATTTATTAACAGACCAGGGGCGTTTTCTCCTGTGCACTGACAGTGTTAAGTAAGGTACCATTGGCCTTATGCCTCAGCCCAGGCGGCAGCAGGCGCAGAGGCCCCAACCTGGGCCCTGCACAGGCCAGCTGGGTGACCCAGCCCAGGGCTGGCTGGCCCAGGCGGAGCCCCTGGGCACAGGCAGTGAGGGCAGAGAGCCCAGGCTGGCTGCTGCAGCATCTGTGCCTCGGGATCCCCTGGCTGTCCTGCATCCCTGCTCCGGGCAGTCCATGCCCTTGGGCGTAGGCTATCCTCACCCCGCCAATGTGGATCCCAAAGGAACAGACACCACAGCATAGGCTCAAACAAAGCTTTATCTCTGGGAGGAGGGTGAGCCTACTGCTTCCTTCCCATTCATTCTCACATTGATTTGTACCTG